TTAATAAATGTGTATAGGACTTAATTCTAAATTTGTTAGACAGAGAGGGAAGAAACACAATGTTCAGACAGGCAGCATGTATGGATATGTGTACTTGAGATTCTGGGTTCAACGTTTGTATTAAAGGGGATCAGAATCACTCTCACAGCTTGCTCACTTGGTTCACAGAAATACAGACTCGACAGTGGAAAACTTCATAGTGATAGTTCTCTTCACTCTGGTGAAATACGTAAGCTGTTGGCACTGAATAGCTTCCTGATTTTAGTAAGGAGAATGAAATCCCAATAAGCCAAGAACCAAATGGCACCATGTCCCTGTCAAACATGAGGAGTGTATGTGGTTGATGAAATGGGTGGTGACAGTAATCAGAATTGTTTGCTTGCAGAGCTCTTTGGCACCATGTCATTTACCTTGGCATTTCTAAAATTAAAAGAGAATAGAAAATGGATTTACATAATAGAAGTTATATGTTTTTAAAACCTCTAGGACTGGTGAACATAGTCATGACTTGAGACAAGAGAATAATGACTTCTCCCCTAATTCCCAGTTCATGCTCCCAGAAGCCCTCAGATAGCAATGTCCCCTTCAGGATGGACCCTATGACACTACAGCAAATGCATATTTGTAGTCTTCTTTGGAGGAACTTGCATCCATTCACCAGAGTGAGTGATTATTGGGAACATATCAACACTTAAGGGAGGTTACTAGATTCTGCTCCCTGAACTAACACTTATTCCTAGATACCAAGCTCAACTGTCTTAGTCTGTCCTCTGCTGCTGTCATAGAATTCCATAGACTGGCACTTTTATAAAAGACAGAAATTATTTGATTTATGTTTCTGGAGACTGGGGAGCCCGAGAGCATGACACCAGCACCTAGCAAGGGGTCCTCCCATGGTGGAAGGTGGAAGGCAGAAGCAACCATTTAACATAAAGAGAAATCAAGTCAAACTCATCCTTTTTATTAAGAGCCCACTCTTGTGTTAATCAAACCACTCACTGATAACAGCATTAATCTGTTCATGAAGGCAGATACCTCATGACCTAATCACCTCTTAAAGGTTCTAACTCTCAACACTGTTACAATGGCAATTAAATTTCAACATGAATTTTGGCAGGGACAGTCAAATCATAGCAAAAATTAGTCATGAAGGCTCATGAAAGTTAACCAAAAAATTGAAATTTTGTCCTGAATTTATTTCATAGGGGGTCCTATGATTCCCAAACATAACCTAGTTTATTTCCTCATTCCCTCATGTATAATTTAAATTAGACACAGTGGGCAACATAATGTACTATAGTTACTTCAGCCTATTTCCTGAGTAACTCATGACACCATCAGACTTCAGGAGGGCTTAGAACAAGAGAAGGCACTGAAGTTGGTCCAGGATACATCATAACCCTAAAGCCCTACACTTCAATATACACAGATAGTTTATTTCTTACAATGATTGATATTTACATATGTCCATAATATATATTTGTGAGCATATCACAGGGTTTGTTCTCAAAAAGACACAACCACCCATTCATTCAAGGGGCTGTAGTCTGAAAGTTGAGTGAGAGGCTGTGACATTCTCAGCAATGATGAATCAAGTCAGTATTCTGTCCAAGTTCAAGAAGAGAATCACAGTGCACACGCTTCAGATTTCTGGAGAAAAAAATGTACTTTCTTTCTCTAGATGAACATCTGAGAAATGACTCTTGAATCCCTGCTATGTTTGATAAAGGCAGGTCTCTTGGCCACATGTCCCAGGATGCCTACCATGAATTGATGTTACATGCCCCAACAGGCCAAAACCATCCCCATGTCTGCCATCCTAGTTCCAAACTCCCATCGTGGTTTTGTTGGAGAATTGCAGTAGCCTCCTAATTGAATTTTCTGCTTCCAAACTTGCTCTTGCTCCAATTCATTTTTTACATTTCAACTAGACTTTTTGAAATGAACATCTGATTGTGCTATTAACCTTTTTAAAAGCTTTTCTGGCTTCGCATAAGTCTTACAATAAGCTTGGAGTGGTACAAGACTGCGAATGATCTCATCTCCTGTTACCTTCTAATATCATCTCTCCCCTGGACTCCCTGTGTACAACTTGGCCTTTTCTGCTTCTTGGAATGAGGTATTATCATTAATCTATCAAGTCTTTCACTCACTTTTTCCTCTCTATCTTAAATTCCCTTCCCTAACTTCTTCGAGTTGACCCACCTTCCAGCTTGAACCTCATTCCTCAGAAAAATAATCAAAAAACTTCCTAGATGAACACAACCTTCCCCTTCTGTTATTTGATTTCATAACAGCCTGCGATTTTTTTCTCTGAGCATTTATTTTTGTTTGTAATAATGTATTTATTTGAGACAGTGTTTGTCTGAAACATGCCTGGTTGAGTAGGCTGCACAATACACAAGTACACCTAATCTGGGAGAAAGTGAGGGGTAAAACCCAGCCCACAGTTGACTCGACAAGTCACGCATCCAGATATAGATCTCCGTCTATCCCGTGTAGGAAGGAATGCCATTTTGTAATTATATAAGTCCACTGTTTTCTCACAAAGCTGTGTGCACATGGGCTGCATCTACCCAGCAGAGGCTTCATCTTCAAACTTGCACAAAGATACCCATGGATTAACTACAGTTCTGTAAACCTCCCTCCATAACGAGCTAGCTCAATGAGGGCAAATACCATGACTGTTTCTGTCATGCCAACATCCTCAGTACTCAGCACACTGCCCTGTGTACGAGTATATGTTTGTTAAGATTTATTAGTTCAGTCATTCTAGAATAAGAGACAGCTATTTTATTTTGTACATTTCTTCTGGGTTCACTGGTTTGTTAAAACACATTTCAGTGTCTAAGGTGCAAGTTGCTCCTGTGAATCAGTCAACAAAGGCAAAGAGTTTTGTCCTACTAATTGCCCAAATTCCTAATCAGGCCCCAGGGACAGAGACTCAGACTCTTTCTCTGCTGCCCCCTGAGCCCTGGAATGATTCTCGAAGGGCAACCCCAGAGTCCTGGAGCAGATGGATCTGCTCCTCTTTTAGGAGTAAACAGACAACGTTCCTGGATTTAGAGTTTCAAGAAATTTCAACTGTTCAGGAGGACTCTCCAGATCAGAGAAGTCAATGTTCTGGGCCTGGAATTAGTCACCATACCCTGAACTGCCATCTGCATTCTGGAAACTCTGACCTTCAGGGCTTTGGTTCTCAATTTCTCCACACAGTCCTTTTGGAGAGAGTCTTTCTTATCTCAGAACTTTTTCTCCCCAAGTTCAGATATACCAGCTCTGAAGAGAATTTCACTCATCTCTTTTGCCAAGTTTGCAAGAAGTAAGTGGTTATTGCTATTAACAAAAAGAAAAGGAATTTTGCTTTAAAAATTTTTTATTTTCTTCCTTTTCCCATTCTGGTTTTCTGATGATTTTCTTGACATTAGCGTTTCATACTTTCCTCGTATTAATATCTCACAGAGGGCTGATTGAGACTTGTTGCTTGTGAAGTAGAATGCAACACTCTCACAAGTTTCATTTGTAAATAGTGGAAGAATCTGCTGAAAGAACAAGGGAAGAACGAGTGAATAACACAACTTTTTTAACTCCAGAGTTGTCATCTTCTAATGATGTCCCAGAGATTTGAGCCAACAAGGCTGAGAGTCAGGCATTTATCCTACAGCTACTGTCTCCTTCCCCTCCTATCTGAACACGTTCTTTGAATTTTCATTCAGCAGAATTTTGACTCAATGGAAATGCGTGAAATTAGGAGTCAAGCCTAACTGTGTGTTACCCTTGGTCTTGCCAATTGCTAGGTATGTAAGTTTGAAAAGTAGCTTATCCGCCCAAGCCTTGGATTCTCCACCTATAAAATGGGAATATTTTACTTCCTTGCAAAATGATCACTAAACTCTTAGGCTAGCATGCATCAGCCAAATGTGAGTTTCTGCACAGTGATTTCTAAGGACCTGAGGCATGTAGAACATAAGGGCCAACTCTATGGCTCTATTAGCCTTTAGAGCCTGTGTGCTACTTTGACTCCCCTTATCTGTTACGCTCAGTCCTAGATCAGATTCCTTATCCTGCCAGAGTGTGGGGCATCCAGATGACTAGGTTCTGAAAAATGTGCTTGGTATAATGTGTATGTGTGTGTGTGTGAGAGAGAGAGAGAACTGTGGATGTGAACTGAACTGAAGATGGGGATGCCAGACAGGTGGAGAGAGAGAGAATGAATTATGGATGTGAACTGGATACCAGACCGTGGATGCTAGACTTGCAACAGGAGAAAACAAAGGGCCATAGCTTTCCTCTGAGCGTTGCCCTCCTATCAGATGGTAGTGGCTGTGTCAGGAACTTATGCCATCCGTGTACCCACCTCTTCACAGAGATATCAAAACCAGCTCAGAACAAGATACAGTGATTCTGTTTTCTTAAATATCCTCCTAAAAAAGGCTCATTGACTTCCGTGTATCAGTGTTCCATGCATCAGTGTCTCAGCCGAGATAGAAAGCGTTTCTTCTTCCAGTAATGAGTTCTCTTTCAAGAGCAAAGAACTCAGCGTACAGGGTCAAGAGAGCTGTATTTCAGAGTTAGCTCTGCCATGAATTAAATATGTGATATTTCTTTATCCTTTTTGGAATTAAGTTTCCTCACATTTCTGCCACATAGTTATTTTTAAGTGGGAGATGTATCGTTACTTTGAGGAATAAAGAAAATTGTAAATTGCAAAATAATTCAATGCACTTCTGCTACCTTTTTAGAAAAAAAGTTAGTCACCGAATTGGAAAACCAAATCAAGATTAATTGCTTATGTCCCTTCTTAATGATCCCATCTTTTCCTGTACTATCTTTTCATGGCTTTTCTTTCTAGCAGCCTCTCTGGTTCTGCAGCTTAATGAGACTTTATCCTTCCCTGTCCATCTTCAGGAGTTCCTCTGCCTTTCTGTTTCTGGGAGGCTTCACACGCCGTGTGTGTCTACACTGTTCCTAAAGGAAGATGCCACATTCTTGTTCTCTACCTTTTAGTGGACTGTATCTCTCTAAAGTCTGGATTCCCACTCCGGCACTTTGTCCTGGTTTCTGGGTGCCCAAAGAAGCGCCTCTGTGTATCTCTGGCAGAGGTGCGGGTCTCCTCGGTCAGACTAGATGTCCTCGAGAGCATCCCTTCATTCATTGGTTCATTTAACACATACTTACCAAAAGCCTAAGATATGGCAAAAATTGGGCTGGGCTTTGGGAATGTGGAATTAAGTAATTATGATCTCAATCATCACAAGCCTTAAAGATTGAGAGGTCAAATAATAAATAATTTCAGTTGAATGTGACAAGGGCTGTGACCAAAGAAATGGGAGAAATAAAATGCCAAGGTAATCAATACGGAGGATAGTTATGAGAACAGCTTCAAGGGAGACTTAAAAAAAATTGAACGTACCCTCCATCCCACTGAATATGTAATACATATTCATAATGGAAAGTTTGGAAAATTTAGGAGACAGTAGACATTTACCTATAATTACGCCATGCAGAATCATGTCCTACCACCATTTAGATGATTTCCATTCAGCCTTTTCACTAGGCACACTTTCATATAATTGAGAACATTTGGAATATACTACATCATATTCTGCTTTTTCACTTATTATATTTCATTGATTTACAAAATTTGCATATGCATTATTTTTAAAGCTGCATAATGTATGTTTTAAAATACTAGTGCATTAGTTTTCATTTTAAAATATCACATGCATTCATTTGTGAATCTTCAGAGTCTATTTTCTAAGTATACATATTCAATGGACATGTACCTTTATTTTATTTATCACATTGGGATCATGTGACTTTCCCCTTCTCTGTTTTGCAATGTTTCTTCCATTCAACAATATCATGAACACTTTTCTAAATGCATAGCATTAAAGGTTTTATTGTAAAATATAGTATGCATTAGAAAGAATATATTAAAACATGTATAATTTAAGAAGAAAAACAAAACAAATACCCTGATTCCCTCCACCCAAACTAAGTATTAGAACATTATCATAAGTCTAAAAGCTTCATACAATACTTAATATAGGCCAAATATTCAAATTAACTTTAGGTTAAAGCATTTCTAATTTTTTTTTAAAAATTGATTACCTCTAAAACATACACTGTTTAATCTTGCCTTCCTTCAAACATTAAATAAATAAAATAAAGATACACACACGTACTATATATATATGTACATGCACATATATATATATAATGTGTGTATATAGGTATATATATGAGTGTGTGTGTATATGTATATACACACACAGCCAGGATATTTTTTTTCTTTTTTGAGACAGAGCCTCAAGCTATCCCCCTGGGGATAGCTGTGGCATCACAGCTCACAGCAGCCTCCAACTCCTGGGCTCAAGCGAGTCTCCTGTCTCCGCTTCCCAAGTAGCTGGGACCACAGGCACCCACCACAACGTCCAGCTATTTTTCGGTTGCAGCCATCATTGTTGTTTGGCAGGTCCGGGCTGGATTCGAACCCGCCACCTTAGGTGTATGTGGCTGGCGCCTTAGCTGCTTGAGCCACAGGCGCCAAGCCCACAGTCAGGTTTTGCTTTTATTATTCAACATAACTTTGATGTGCATACATGATGCTATGTAAATGTAATTAGTTTCATTAATTACCTTAAACAGGATTCTGTATTAATTACCTTAAACAGGATTCTGCAAACATATTTTCATAAAGGACTAGTTAGTAAACACTTCAGTCTTTGCAGTCTATTGATTACAAACACAGAAGAGGGCAGTAGTTTGCCTACCCTGCTCTAGAGTCATTAATTCGATGCTCTGTAATACTGAATTGTGACAGTTTACTTCAATTGAAATGCTCTTTCTACTTTTGAATAACATTTGATTTGTTTCAGTTTGTCTGTATTTTAATTTTTCTTAGTGAACAAAGTTGCTATAAACTTCTTGTGTCTGTCTTTTGAATTTTTCTGGGTTAACTATCTAATGGTGAAATTGCTAGTTCATTTTCAACTTTAGCAAGTGATGTCAAACTGTTTTCCAAAATAATTGTATCAATTTCGACTCTCCGGCCAGTAAGGAATTGAAGCTTCCCTTGCTGTGTATCTGGGACAGTTTGAATTAGTTGCAAGCTGACGTGTACAGAAGGGACTGTGGTCTTCTTTTGTGATCTGTGGTCTTCTTTTTCCCTGGCTAATAAGGATGTTAAAAATCTACTTACATGTTCATATGTCATTTGTGCTTCCTTTCATATCAAATTACTTTAACATTATTAATAGAGATAATGATCTTTTAATATCTATTAATAGTTTTTTCTTTTTGATTTTCAGAATCCATTAGGTATGACTATTTCATCTGTCATTTTTCTTACAAATATCTTTTCCCTTTGTCTGTTTTTCTTTTATTAAGATTTATTTTGAAAATTATAAGTTAATTTTTATGTGATAAAAGTTATCTTTTTTTATGTTTTCTATCTTGTTTAAGAAATCTTTAATTACCCCAAAGTTTAAAAATATTCTTCTACATTGTCTTCTAAACATTTAATAGGGCCATAGGGTGTTTTGTGTGTGTTTAGATTTTTAATCCATTTGACATTGACTTTTCTATGGTCAAGCAAATCTAATTTCATTTTTTCTCTGTCTGAGTAACTAACTATTCCAATTGACTAGTCTGTTTTCCACCAGTCTGCAATGCAAGCCCTATGGGGAAGAAATGTCCTGTTTCAGAACTCTTATTTTCCTCCATTATCATGGTTGTTCATCCCTGTACAAATGCCACACGTCCTTAATTACTATGGCCTTATAACAGGCGACAATATTTGAAGGGCAAATCCTCTCCATTTGTTTTTCTTCCTCAAGAGTTTTTGGCTATTCTTGCACTTTGTACTTTTTCAATATTAGTTGTCAGTCTGAAAAATAGTCAGAAATAACCTATTTGAGATTCTGATTGCAATTCATTCACTCCACAGGCCAATTTTGGATTATTCATTAGAATCTTCATAACGTTAGACCTTCCAAGGTATAAGCATAACCACTTATTTCAGTTTTCTTTACTGAAAACCAATGGACTTTTTTTTTTTTTTTTTGCAGTTTTTGGCTGGGGTCGAGTTTGAATCTGCTGCTTCTGGTATATGGGGCTGGCACCCTACTCCTTTGAACCACAGGCACCATGTCTGTAATGGACTTTACTTGTAACCAATGGACTTCATTGGTTCTTCATTAAGGTTTTATAATTTTCACCATAAAGGATTTTCTTCATGGATACTTTATACTTTTGAAGCTATTATACAACAAATCAGCTTTAAATTTAATTCACTATCAGTTTGTTGAAGTACAGAAATGTATTAGATTTTTATATATAAGTTTGGTGTCAGAAGCTTGCTAAACTTTCTTAATTTATCAGTAGGCTTTGGATTTTCTGTGTCCACAAATCACTTCATCTGTAAAACATGTCAGTTTTCCCTCTGCCTTCTCAATCCTTATATCTTTAATGTCTTTTTCTTGCCTTGCTGGGCTGGCTAGAATATTCAAGACAATGTTGAAGAGAAGCGGATAAAGAAGTCACCCTTATCTTCTTCTTAATCTTAAAGAGAATTCTTCAGTCTCTTACTGCTAAGCATGATGTTGGCTGTAGAAGTGCTGCACACACGTTTCATCACCTTAAAGAAAATCTTCTATTCCTAGTTTACTAAGGGTTCTTATCAAGGTAAATACTGAATTTTAAAAATGCTTTTTGGCAACTATTAAAATAATCACATGAGTTTTCTCTTAAAATAGTTTATTTGAAGAATTATATAATTGAACTGTTTAAATGTTGAACTACCTTCTCATTCTGAAATAACACCAACATGGTCATGCATTTTTCACGTTGCTGGATTTGGTTTGAGAACACAGCCTTCCCTTGGTGTCCATGGAGAATTGGTTCCAGGATCTCCTGCAGATTATCAAATCCCTGATGTAAAATAAAGAAGTATTTGCTTATAACCTATGCACATGCTCCCATATACTTTAAATAATCTCTAGCTTATTTATAAAACCTAAGAATGTAAATCTTATGTAAACAGTTGTTACACTGTATTGTTTATGAAATAACAACAAGAAAAACAAATCAGTACAGATGCCTTTTTTTCACATTTTTTTTTTGTTTGTTTGTTTAAGACAGGGTCTGTCTTTGTTGCCCTTGGTAGAGTGCATTATCACAGCTCACAGCAACCTCAAACTCTTAGGCTCAAAGGATCCTTTTGCCTCAGCCTCCCAAGTAGCTGGGACAATAGGCACATGCCACAATGCCTAGCTGTTTCTTTAGAGATGAGGTCTCACTGTAGCTCAGGCAACTCCTAAGCTCAGGCAATCCACCCTCCTTGGCCTCCCAGAGTGCTAGGATTATAGGCATGAGCCACCATGCCTGGCCTTCAGCCTTAGTTTTTCTATATTTAGTAGAGATGGAGCCTTGCTCTTTCTCAGGCTGGTCTCAATCTCCTGAGCTCAAGCAATCCACATGCCTCAGTCTGCCAGAGTGCTGGGGTTATAAGCACCTGCCACAACGCCCAGTTAATTTTTCTATTTGTGGTAGAGAGGGGAGTCTCACTCTTGCTCAGGCTGGTCTTGAACTCCTCAGCTCAGGCAATCCACCCGCCTCAGCCTCCCAGAGTGCTAGGAGAGTGCTAGGATTACAAGCATGAGCCCCTGTGCCGCCTTCTCGAATATTTTTGATCTAAGATTGGTTGACTCCACGGATGCAGAACACACAGATATGAAAGGCCAACTGCATTCTGTGATGAATTGCTTGAGCTCAGGAGTTCAAGACCAGTCTGAGAAAGAGTGAAACCCCATCTCTACTAAAAAGAGAAAAATTAGTCAGGCACTATGGTAGCCACCCATAGTCTCAGGTACTCAGGAGGCTGAGGCAAGAGGATATCTTGAGCCTAAAAATTTGAAATTGCTGTGAGCTATGATGATGCCATGGCACTCTACCAAGGGAAGAGGCTGAGAATCAATCTCTAAATAAATAAATAAGAATTTGATATCTATATATGTCCATGAGATTGGTCTGTTAAGTTTGGTGTCAGTATAATTCTAGCTCTGGAAATGTGGTAAGGAAGGTTTTTTTTCTTTTTCTATTACCTAAAATAGTGTGTTTAGTGTAGGAATTACTTTATCCTTAAATTCTCGATATAATAACTCTTACTGGTAAAACTGTCTTGGCCTGTGGGTTTGTTCCTTTATAGTTTTTAAGTGTCCTTATTTCTTAAAATAGCTATGGGATTTTTCACACTTTCTCATTCTTGATTCAGTATTGGCAGGTTTTTTTTTCTACAAATATACCTATATCATAGAAATTAAAAAACGTGTTGTAATAAAGTTGTTCATACTGTCACTTTTCCTCTTTTTGAATCTGAAGTGTGTGCCTTTATTAATTCATAACATAGTTTGTTTCTCTTGTTTTTTTCTTGGACAATTTTACTAACAGTTTACCTAAAGTTCATAAACTTTTACTTTCATGAATTTTTCTACATCTTGTCCTTCTTTTATACACGTATTGTTGGCACCCATTTCATTGCCGTTGGTTTTCTTTCTACTTTCTTTTTGGCCCTGCTCCTATATTAACCTTAGAAGGGATGCCCCGCTTATTCATTTTCAGCCTCTTCTCTACAAACAAGAATTTTAAACTATGTTTTTCCTTCTGTTATGTTCTAAATGGTTGGGTATGTGATCCTTTCATTTGGTTCTAAATCCACAGAAGAACCTCGGTAAGTTGACCACCCAAGGGACTGTCACAAACTGGTCAACATACAGAGGTGGTCAACCCAAGGAACTAGGTCTGCTGTACAGACATGTACATGTGGTGCGTGTCCCGTCTGTGAAAATTAGGCCAGCTTCAGGAGGTGATCCATGTAGGGAGGAGATCAACTATATTTTCTAATCTTCCTTATGAGCTCTTCTTTGAATTTTAAGTTTGATTATCAAACATTTGCAATTTTTCAAGTTATCATTTTTTTGGTGAACTTGTCTACACGATGGTCTGAGAATATGGTTATGTTTTAAGAAAGTCCAATTTAAAAAAATTTGGAAACAATTTCATAGGTCATCGATGATCATTTTTTAAATGACCCAGATGTGCATAGAAAGAATGCTTTACATCAAAATTTTTTTTAAAATCTTCCTCAAATATTGTGTGTCTTTATTTTCAATCCAAGAACTTAGTCTGCCATGTGCTTGAAGCATGAGAGAAGCTGATTCATTGAGGTTTTTTTTTTAATTGGATTGAAAATCAATGTTTACTTTCTTTTTTTTTTTAGTAAGTCATTCATACATATATCATAAGTACATTTATGCCATTGTGGGATTCAATGTGTTGATTATTTGTTTAGAGCTGGGCCTTTGCTGCACTGTCTCTTTAACCTGTGCTGTGCACTCAGGTTCAGGGTGGACTTTGGTGCTAAAAGATGGTGTTGACCCTCTCTTTGCCTTTTAGACCTGAGATCCCCAATGAAAGCAGCCAACCACACAGAGGTAAGGGAGTTTGTTTTCCAAGGTTTCTCCAATTTTCAGGAACATCAGCTCACACTCTTTGTGGTCTTTCTCACCCTGTACATCCTAACTCTGGCTGGCAATGTCATCATTGTGACTATTATTCGCCTTGACAATCACCTGCACACCCCCATGTACTTCTTTTTAAGTGTCCTCTCCACTTCAGAGACGTTCTACTCTCTGGTCATTATCCCACGCATGCTTTCCAGCCTTGTAGGCTTGAGCCAATCCATCTCCCTGGAGGGATGTGGAGCTCAGCTCTTTTTCTTCCTTGGCTTTGCCATCACCAACTGCCTCCTGCTGGCAGTAATGGGGTATGATCGCTACGTGGCCATCTGCAACCCGCTGCGCTATTCAATCATCATGACTTGGAGGGTCTGTGCCATGCTGGCATCCTCCGTCTGTGCCACGGGGTTCTCACTTTCCCTGGTTCAGGCTGTGGCCATTCTCAGACTGCCCTTTTGCAACTCACTGATTGAGCATTTCTTCTGTGATGTTCGACCTCTGTTGGACCTGGCCTGTGCCACCCCACTCATTAATGATATTCTGACCTTAATTATCAGCCTCCTGGCCATCACAGTCCCTGCCACCTTCCTCTTCATCTCTTATGTCCTCATTATTTCCACTATTCTCAAGATTGCCTCAGCTGAAGGCCGGAGGAAAACCTTTGCCACCTGTGCCTCCCACCTGACTGTGGTCATTATTCACTATGGCTGTGCCTCCATTGCCTACTTCAAGCCCAAGTCAGAGAACACCAAAGATCAGGATCAGTTAATCTCGGTGACTTACACTGTCATAACACCTTTATTAAACCCTGTTGTGTACAGTTTAAGAAATAAAGAAGTCCAGGATGCTCTGTGGAGAGTAATGGGTAGGAAATCTCTTTCCTAAGATGGTAATCTCTGCCCAAAGACTTGTGTTTGCCTTCGAGATGGAAGCTTAAAGGTAAAGTTACAGAGCGAGGGTTTCGGGTAATCAGTGAAGTCTTGTGCATCACAGCCTGGACCCAAGGAAAAAAGTAAAGTTGGGAGCTGGCCTCGAGTAATTGAGTGTCATTTCCTCAACACCTTTGTTAACATAATGAAAACACAGGTCACATGAAAGACCTCACACAGACACCCACCGGCCCTACTCCAGAAGATAATGACAAGGTCAAAATGTGATCCAATGTTCACATCAAGCTTAAATTTAAAGAGATCTGTCCATTTTGCTGAAATATAACCCACATTAAAACTGCCATTCAACAGAATCTTCTTTTAACATGAATCGGATGCTTGAACAAGTGGTTCCTAGAAAGGCAACGCACAGGAACCCAGTTGCCTTCTGTTTTAATAAGATAAGCAAAGCAAAAATAAAGTTATCTTTTAATACATGGGTTTGGAATGAACTGAAAACTTTCTAGAGAGAATGTTGTCAAGCAACCCACTTCACCGTTCCTGTCATCCACACTGTGCACTCCAAATGAAAGAGAAGTAGGGGTGGGGGAACAGGAGAGAAATTGAGTGGAGAAGAATCCTAATCAGCGTATGACAGACGTGCAATTCTGGCCACAAGCACAGAGCCCAAGTGACTCAGTCTGAGTCGCTGCTTCTTCTGCCGCAGATAAGCCACAGGAAGGAGAAGGCCTGGTGGGGCTAAAAGCAATGCCTCCCCCTTGGGCAAGACAAACAACAGGCTCTGAGGAAGAGGGGGCTGCTCTGGGAAAACAATACGGAAAAGGGCTATGAAATCAGTTAAGAAGAAAAAAAATGAGAAACATCTGAATTGGAGCTTCCAGTGTTAGGAAAGTAAGGGAAGAGAAAAACAAGGACGATGTTGGGGCTGAGAGGAGCAAAAAAAGACAAATTTAGAAGCAATCCTTCAGATTGGGTCTCCTTTGTAGATTGTCATGAAGGCAAGGAAGGATAATTAAATGAAAATATGAAAGAGTCGACATAACACTCTGCTGAAAAATTAGGTAATTTTATTATTCCTGAAACACTGAACAAAGTCAACAGTAAGGGATTTGGACATGAAAACTTCCATAAAATTAAAGCAACGAAGTTAGAAATGGAATAATAAAAGACTATTTACTGTTCCTCACCTCAAAAAAAGAAACGAAAAGAATCCCAGTGAATTTTATATTCAATTTGTGAGATGAAATAGGTGATGAGTAAAACAATGATGATTATCAGTTGCAGTTACTGAGCAAATCAAACTTGGAATCCTGAGATATTTATAAGATGATGGAAAGAAATGCCTTAGCACATAGTCTTCTCATTGCAAAATATTCTTAAAATACAGAAATATCAAAAAAAATGTGTAAACCGATTGTGAATTTTATAGGCTATGTATCAGGTACACACACAGCTAATTTCAAGAAAACCCTGTAATCCAATCTACTTTGTAATTCTGAGCTCCTTATCTTCCTGACTTAAAAAAGTCACCCAGATTTTTTTGTGTAAACTCAGGCAATTGAAATTAAAAAAGTTATGTTATGAGTAAAAACAATAAAATTCAAGATTCTGCTCCTCTCCCTTCAACCACTTCTTCCTCATTACCCTTAAGGTGAATCAAGTTCTGCTCCAGCCTTGAAGTTTTCTGAAAGAGGAAAAAACTTGACCCATGGTCATTTTCACCTCCTCAGACTGGATTCTTTGGAGACATGGGACCTCCAGCAGCCATCCGGTTGACATTCACAGAGATAACTGGTCCTGCCATGTTCTTTAATCAGTGTGGTCCCTGAACTTTGTATTTTCCTCATGACCATTTTGAGGCTACTCTAGGCCTTCTGGCCCTCTCTCAGCTACTTTTTGGGAACATCTGGACTAGGGGTCCTCAAAATTTTTAAACAGGGGGCCAGTTCACTGTCCCTCAGACCATTGGAGGGCAGGACTGTGGGCCCCGGGATGGGTCCGCTGCTAAGCAGGACAGGCAGTAGTGGGAAAAACACTGATGGGCTGGATAAATGTCCTAGGTGGGCCGCATGTGGCCCATGGGCCATAGTTTAAGGATGCCTGACAGTCTGCTGTACCCTTGACCCCTATGGGAGTGAATAGGACTCTCTGAGGTGTCATCGGCTGTCACCTGATTCCTTACTCACCTGTTTCTACTCCACCAGTATTAAGCCTTCTCTAAAAGG